TGTGCAATAAACATCAGAGGAAGACCATAGGCCAAGTAACAAAACGGGAAGAAATCTATACAGTAAAGAAAATACAGATTTGATGTCACTGAACTGTAATGTTTGAGAATTTTTTCGCAATCTCTAAGGCGTACAAACCTGTGTCGAACTTCCTTCGTGATTACACTTTTCTCACTTCCCTGAGACCGCATTGGCATCTGACTCCCATCATTAAACTGATCTTAATGAATGAAAAGATGAATCTACAAATTGACTTACTTTTGAGTGGGACTCATGCTTTGATGACAGCTTGCCAAGCTCCTTCTAGGAAAATTACACCATCATTTCATATACTTGGCTGTCGCAAATGACTCATTGAACAAACACCTCTTACAACCCCAGAGATGTTTAGAATTGTTCTCATGTTAATAAGCTCTCATCTGTTTTGTTGCCTGCAATTGGTGACATTTGCAAAGCACAGAAGGTACAGAGAATGTTAATCCTTCCAGATGGACGAGATATGATGATACATATGATGGTGGTGGCTGCAGAGAGTGGTCAAAAAATAACCAAAGATATTTCAAAGGTAAAGCTTCTACATAAAAACAAAAGAGTTACGCTGACAGATTGCAAATGAAGAAGAGATTAGGCATACTTCTGCCACAGTATGTTAAACTTCTGCTGCAGTATTTTCAGTTTCCCATGGAAATGCACTAGGGTTTAATCTTTCTGCTTGATGCATAAGCAGATGTATATTCACAGCATATTATTCATTGTCTTTGAACCCAGGAATAACCTTTTCCTGTTGGGTAGAGCCTCGGCTTATTAAGATTGATTACATTTGACAAAAACATGGCTTCTGGAAGATTAATGCACAGAGATAAAGCAACAAAGGGAAGAGAGGGAAGTGGAAACAAATTAATGTATTTATATTCTCACCACTGAACTTGTAACACATGATCATGGACAAGTTTGTGAAGCAGGTACTTAACATGTCACATGAGTAGAGGTAAAAAATTAAAAACGCTAGCGAATGGTTACATTTTTGGTTCTATTTCTGACTGACTATAGGCAAAGCAACTAAGCAGTAGATTGGACACCAAGGACACATTCGGGTGCTGTGGACCCCGCATTTCTCCCACTCAATGTGTCTTTATGTTTTGCTGAAATGTCAAGGCCACTGTGGTTAGGACTAAGACTTACTGGGATGCCTGGTCTACCAGTTTAGCTAACGTGAGCCCCCAAACGGTTCAATTTTGACAAGAAATCTAATGTCAAAGGTCAACTAAGAACTACTGCTGAGCTGCATCGACAAGTGCTGTCGCAACAGCACGACATATACCTTTGGAGAGGGGCTGTGTGTGCAGCAGGGCGATCAGTTGTAAATAACATGACAGGTGTCCTAAGAATAATAGTTTGCTTTCGACACATTTTTGCAGCCCATCTCGATGTGACACGGGTCTTCTCCCTCACATTGGTATTATTCAACAATCTCTATCAACTTTTGTCGAGATTTTTTGTTGCTTTTGTCTAGCTATATAGAGTGGAGGGATGAAGTATGTTCGTAGGCCTGTCCGAATGTTGGCATCAAAAACAAAAGGCAATGGGATCTTTCAATTGGATTTTGGATTATTGCAGAAATTAAGGAATTTGGCAAAACTTCAGCTAAATGCGATTGCAAGGGAAAAAAGGCCAACGTTAGGCTATGAGCGAACGACCTCACAGTTGGATGCACATCACCAACGCCAAGCTAGAGGCGGATTCAAGTTTGTCGGTAAGATGTTTAGTAGTGTCATCTACTCAATTGTTATCAACCTCTGTTTTTTGGACACAGGCTTTGGCCATTAAATAACAAGAGAGAATCTTCAAAAATCCCTTTTGTGCTAACCACAATTCTTTTTTCACCGGGGCTTGTAAATACTAACTATTTTCGAGGTTTTAGGAATCACTCCTGCAGCACTCTATTGTTTGCACATAAGGATAACACTTAACTTTAAGTCCATTTAAGTTACAAGCCGTATTGAGGTTTGAAAAACAGTGTTTTACCCGTTTGTCGTTCATTATCTGTTCAGACACCAGCCTCTATTTGGGTGTATTTCCTACAGTACTGATATATTTAAAGTGCAAAATAAATTGACCAACACTTCTCTCTCTCTATAGATATGTATTTATGTGTATATATTTATTTTATGTTCATTTACTGCTTGAAAATGCTAAATAGGTCTAGTTTTTTATATTTAAGTGCACATCCGGCAGACAGGCCACAGAGCAAGTTAACATTTGATTTGGTGTCATGTCATATGATGACATTGTCAACAACATGGGAACATCACATCCGGATAAATTGCACTTAACAGTTGCTTTGCGTCAAACCTATGCTCTATATTTAGCAGTAACATATGGCAGAGAATAACTTTGCTGCTGAAACATTATTTTCTACGTTTGATAATGCATGTGTAATCTCAGTCCACAGCAGCAGTGCATCTCTGTGTGTCAGTGCTTTCGCAGCTATTTTTTAATTGTTTCATAGTTTGCTGCTTGTTATGATGTGTAGCAAACCGCAGAGCCTGTGAGGTGATTACTGAATTACCGCATTATTCTGCTATCATAGCTGTGGCCCTGCATGGTTTAATAGATGGAAAATTTCACTCATTTTGTCACAGTTAAGTGCTGGTTCACTGTTGACACCACACATTCATAACAACATATTGTTCCCTCAGCTTTTGCAGTTTAATAGAGATAGAATAAGCACTGGTTTTGCATAATACTATACAAGTCTGTTATTGTCAATATCTGCATGATAAATTAACAGCAAGTTTCTGTGTTCTCGTTTGAGAAAAGGCAATTTTGTTTTCCAAAAAGTCGTTGGAAAACTCACACTGTGAATTTTCACACTTGAGTTGGTCTGAAGAGGATATGAAACCAAACCCTGGCCACGAAGCAGCAGGTAGAAAAAGCCTTTGGAATCAGAAAGGGTGCATTTTGAACGTCACCTCCAACAACACTAAAAAAGGACAAACCATTTCCGACTGGAGAAAGACAGATAATCTAATCTAAACATTAATTTCCTGTTTTGTGGCTGTCTTTAACAGCTCACTAAACAGCTTCAACATTGTATTATCGACAACATTGTAATTCACAACTTAATGTAATTTTAGGAAAGTGCTTGTAAACATGAATTTAAACAGACACCATGTTTAAGGGGGATGGATTTCCTCCTGCATTTTAAATGTGATTAGTGTTGACAGTACTTTCTAATGCTGCACTATAAATAAATTCCATAATTCATGTCCTAAATTCTTATTCCTACCCAAGTTAATTACCAAAACATTATCAGCAAAAAGTCAAAGTGCTGGTTGTGCCTTAGATTGTCCCCTGTTACTGAATTATATCTGATTTACACAGATGTTCACGCCCATATTGGTTGCTTATTATTACACATACAGCAGTAGGGTCTGTTTGAGAATGAATTAACGCCAATGTGAATAAATAAGAGTTAAATACAACTGTTCGGGATCAACACAATTATATGAATTTGTTTTTATTAAATGTTTGTACTTCCCTGAAACTGTGCAAAAACACTACACATGTCAAACCGTCCACTGTTTAATTTCCAAACTTCAGAAATGTGTTAACTAGATGCTCAAAAATTACTTAAAGAACCGTATAGAGCCAGTGATAAAAACGGACGTCTCCTGCATTATGTCTCGGTAATCCAATCCTACTAGATGCAAGTTTTGAGAGACTGCAGGGGGAAAAAGTGGTTTGGCAAAGGCCCTGCGATCTGTTGAATGTAGAGTTTGTTTGAGGGGTGAGAAAATATGTCATTTCGGAGTCGTGGTTTATTCCAACGTAAGAGAGTGCGCACCAATCAGAAGCCTTTACGCTCCACCCTACCTGCCTCCTCTCCGCCCCCCTCCCCTTTCCATCCACATACTCACTACTGAACACGACCTGCCTCCTGCCACATCTGGAGACGCTTCCCAACACGAGAAACTTCAACTTTTGTGTTTCAGAAACACTCAGGCGTGTACGAACTGTCAATCCGTCAGGGAGAATTTGGCTTTTCTCGGTGTAGTAAGTAGAGCTTCTTGAAGCCAAGTTGGCGTTTCTGTCTTTCTCTGAGTTTTTTTTTTTTGTAACATTCGTAAACTGTGCCCGTGTGTGACTTTCATACATTCAGTTCCCGTGTCACTGCCACGCTAAATTGTGTTAGTTAAACGTGGTTTCTTGTTAACATGAAATGACACATTTCCATGTTGGGTTTTCTTGAGTCAGAAATAAGAAAAGTGAAGCGCGACAGTGCGTTACTAGAGTCGATTTACGCAAATCAAGCCAACAGATCTATGAAAAGTTAGTCATTTCACGCTCTGCTCTGTGACAGGATTTGTTTGTATTGGTAAATGTAAACCCTGTCTGAGACTCTGCTCGATAGAAGGCTCTGTGACTGCGTTGATGGGGACATGAGTCAGAGAGAATCAAATAGTAAAATCCCACAGCGACTGGTGATGGAGTGATACATTTCGGGCTTGTTTGTGCCCAACACTGATCTAACACTTGGAAGAGTGGACTGGAATAAGCCATAAACCGCACAGCTCCATACTGAAGTGTTTAAGTTAGTCTGGGAGGAAATTTAAAAGACCTAAAAATACAGCGTTGGTTTCTTCCCTACAAAGAATCATTTGAACTTCCCACCGCAGAGCGAGAGCGACATAAATAGTTCTGACATGTGGATGTAATTTCAGAAGAGGGAAAAAAAGACAGATGCAGAGAAATAAAGAGAACGGGCTGAGCCTGAGCATAGTAGATTAAAGGAAATTAAATCGAGGGCAGAGCGAGGCGATTACAGAGTTATGATTTCACAAGCCGTCCTAAGCATTGAGAGGCCAGATGGAGTGAAGAAATACAACTCGCTCCACTTTGAAGAGAGTTAGACATAATAACAAATTTCATCCGAGCATCATCATCCTGTGATTGAACCCCGCGAGGACTCTTGGAGGTAGAGCTGCCTCAGGTCAGCGATGGGATCCTCTCTGCTCCACAACCTGGACTTCCTTCTCATCTCACTTCTCAGCACTTTATGCCTGGTAAGTCATTTTATATTGTTTTATTATACAACCATGCAACATTTAATTTGACTGTGTTATCAAAATAACTGTTCTAGCGGTGCCTCATCTGTGCACACGTCACTGAGAGCAGCATCTCATAAAAGAGATGCTGAAGAAAATATAATGCCACATTAATTTTTAATAAGAAAAAAACCTGAATGTATTTACAAAATTGACTTTGATTTGAATGGAATCTGCATCTCTTGCAAATAAAAGGTAGCATGCTTTTGCAAGGTGTACAATAATAGATGGACAGAAAAGCAAAGCGTTGTAGCAAATTGCTGTCATACTAATCTGGAGTTGTTGTAGTAAATCCATGTTATTATTAGAGTGTTGGAGTTTTGTTTATTGACACACTTATTGACATATTGACATGGGCTGTAGGGGTTAACAGGGCTCCTAACACAAGCTGCTGCAATTAGTGATCACACTTCCATTAAATCCATCTCCCCACTGTTACAACAACACAGTGTTTGTGGAAATCAGCGCCTGGTAACCTAGTTTATGTAATAAGCATGGCTTTGTGTTAACTACAAATTGATTTAAGCTCTCACCTGACTGAACCAAAGCAATTTTGCAGTTGCATTTAATTCATAAATGCAGCAGCTCCTGAACATGTTCACCTCTCTGATTCACAGCTGTAATTATTTACCTGCCCAACATTGTGATTTATAATTGCGCTTTCAAATATTGAAATAGCTGTATCCAGAGGGCCTGCCACACACACACACACACACACACACACACACACACACACACACACACACACACACACACACACACACACACACACACACACACACACACACACACACACACACACACACACACACACACACACACATTCACACACACACACTGACAGCACACCAAGTTGGTTCTGTGTGTGTTTTGGCGGTGGCTGTTGTGCATTCAACAGGCAGTTCGCCCAGGCTCTGAGGTACAGTGCATTTTCCCAGTGATGTGGTCCATCACTGTACCGCAGTGGACCTCTAGGCTCATTGGTTTAGATGGCAGAGGAAAACAATTATAACATTGCTGTGTATTTATAGCTGATTCAACATTTAGTCGTTAAAAGGCTGTGTCTGTCCATGGTGTTTACCCGTTTTTACACTGGTGTTTGCTCAGTCTTCCTCTCTGCAAAAAAAAGTAATTTTCTCTTCAAACTGTGACCAAACTGTAGATTTCCCTGAAAGCTTAAGCTGTGCGTGGAAAGTGTGTATCTCGGTTAAAATAAAGTATACATTTTAAATTGAGACATACAGTTGTCAAACTAAATGGCTGTGTCATTTTCCAGAAGCTCAGCATGTACTATAAATAATATATCCTGTCATTAATGCCAATTTTCACCAGCACAACACCATGAATTAGTTGGGTCCATACATCTGTGTTTTTCATCTCAGCAGGCCTGTTGCAGTGACAGCTCCCAGACAAAGCTCCGAGTCACAGAGCCTTTGTTCAGCGTGACTGACTGCCTCACGTACTCAGTTATTACATGTTTTAAGCGGAAGCACTGCTTTAGGATCCTTAGTGAGCGTTTAATTTCTCCCTCATGACTGTGTTTTGCCCTGTGATGACTTTCACGTGTCTGATTCCTGAGTGGAAGGACTACAGTTGTATCTGTCTACCATAGCCAAGCATTATGTCAGCACTGTAAATGCTGTCATGTCTTGTAGTGCACAAGGCAGTTTTTACCAGTTTGACTCCATGTGGAAAATATCTGTTAACGACATTAGCGACATTAGCCCAGAAACAGTGGCTTAGTTCCTCAACGTGGCGGGAATGTCTTGATTAAGTATCTATGTTGCGTTGGACCTTAACATCGAACAACATTACAATAGAAGTTTACAGTTTCATCAAAATTGATGAAAAAGTAGAGGATGTGGCATAACAGGCAAATATATCTTTAAAAAATATATATTTCCTCTTCAAAGTATCATTCAAAAGCCTTAACATTTCATTGGCCCTAAAAAGCACATAGAGCCCCCCCAGAATAACGCTTCTGAGTAGCTTTAGCCAAATAACCCTCTATGGAATTTCATAACACAGATTAGAGTGCGGGATAATCTCGTCTCAATCTGTCTGTGGTAATTAGGGCCAGCAGATTACTTCCCACTAATTCATGTTGGTGCATTTGTGAAACGTGCTCCTATATTACAATTTATTTTTGCAGGGCTTTTTAACTGATCTCTTGGAGGAATTATTATAATTTCTTTCCCACTTTTGGGAGTTTGCATGTGTGCCTGAAGAAGCATGAAATGAAGCATCTCCTTAAATGTATTCACTTTTAATCACTCGTTCTCTGCAGGATCATGCAGTTAATCACCATGGACTTTCCTAATGAAAGATAATTCAGTTGACCCTACACTGAAAGGATGAGTGATTTTTTTTAATTAATTATTCTTTTTCATTGTCTCCCTATGTTAACATAATGCGCAACATTTTCCATCATAAAATAAATATTTTAAATCTCAAATACAGAAGAGAAAAAATAGATTTTTTAAAAATGCATTTGACTTAATGGGGGATATGAGATGCAAATTATAATTTTTTTGCTTTCATTTTGAAATTGTAAAATAAGTGCTTTAATAATGCTGCGTTATTATTGTCTTATCAGACCCCATTAAGACATGCTTTATTAATTAAATAAACTCACCAACATTTCATACAAATATAAATTGTTGTGCTATTGCAAGGATTTTACGCCCTATGAACACATTTTACAGTTGAGGCTTCTTTTGAAGAAATCCATTAGTGGTGTGCTTTTACGTTTGGCTGGACCTATCTCCAATGGGATTATTGAACATCACAAAGGCTTTTACCTTGATGAGATTGGTCACTTTTGTACTAAATGTCCTGTTAATTTACCAATCAGAGCCCAGCCCCACTTCTAACAAAGACAATGAACACAGTCTATTTATGACTTTATCAAGTTAGTTCAACTTTAGCAGCAGAAGATCTGTGGAGCGGATTGCTAATTGTTGATTAGCTTGAGCAAATGTGAGCTCTTCCCCTGGCGGGAAGCTACAAACCAGGCCAATGCAGGACATGCCACCTGGTCATGGGAATCCACGAAATCCACACCACGAAAAAAATAAACAAGCAGACAGAATATTCATTGATAATCTACAATTATGCGCAAATAAGAGACCTTTTCGAAATGCAGTCATCCACTCTGGAATGAATGCATTATGAGCAATGACTGCTATATTTTCAAAGGTCATATCTTTGACCAGGGGGGAATCAAGTAAAAATGATAATTATCAATTCGATTTTGTGACTCTATGCTTCCTTGGGTGTTTGGATATATCATATTAGAGGTGTTGTGATACTCTGGAATTAACAATAACCGTACTATTAAACAAATAATATAAACATAAATAATTGCAGCACCTCTTAAATCTTACTTTCCATTACTGTTATTGGTTTATTTGTAGTCTTTTGTACAGTTTTTTGACAGACCTGGTTTGTGTATATTATTATACTTCACAAACAAACTGGCAGTGAGCTTAGATCTTGCCCCAAGGTAGCTTTGACATATTGGTTTGTAGGCTGATAATTCTTTGATACTAATCCTTCAAGTGGGAAAAGGATGAAACATTTTCATTATAGCTTTGATAAGGCATAGAGTTATGATTTCCATCCATCAGGGAACTCCCACTGTGTTTCCCATGTGCAGGTTCTGGTTATATGGAGAATTTTAATCGTGTTTGTTATGTGTACCTCATTGTCTGGCCTCAATTCAAAATGTCTGAAAGAGATTTCTCTGTCTAAAGACGAAATAAAAAAAGTTGATGTCTGGTTGTACCGGTATTGTGTCCGTCTGTCCGGCGGGCTGCCATCGTTTATGCCCTTTTCACATTGTGTAGAAATGTAGAAAACAATATAACACACTGTTATATCAGGTGGTGGCAGTCCACTGATTGTACAATTTTATGATTGGTTCTTAACAAGTGGCTTGAAAGAAATAACACACAGTTTCACATCATGCAAACATTTCAAATTATAGCCCTTTTGAAAAAGCTGACAGTTTTTACAATTCTTCATGTTCGCTGCTGCATATGTTTAAGCTCTCTAAAAGAACTCATTGTGATGAAATGATTTATCCCACTGGTCTTGGGTCTGTCGTTTGTCTACAGTATATTAAAAGCTTTTTCTCCGTATTGACATATATTGATCATCTCCACAAGCTTGATGTGAATTAGCAGGTATGAAAGGGGACAACAGCTTGCAGCTCTGCGGCGACGGTCTGCAGACACTTGCACTCACGGCTCGAGTGAAATGTCACATAATCGAAAACACACCAGAAAGTTTACTCCGTCTGCTTTGAGAGTATCATGTAATTGCTGTGGATACATTGAAATCAGCAGGAGTTTCAAACGCTGAAGGGTGTAAGAGAGGCTATTTTAGTGCACAGATGGTAGCCTACCACCTTGGTTCAAATGTAATTTCTCCCTCCAAATGAGATTATGTGGTTGGCAGAATTGAGACATCCTGTTTTGCAATTTAGTTTTACAGCGCGTTATGTGGATTTAAGCAGCATGGAGGTGTAAACTCTGTATCAGCTGCTGTACATGCAGTAGATTGTGAGTCACTTCTGTCGTCACTGGTCAGTTAACATGTTTGTCTGAATTTTCCCTGGGATTAGTCTGGGATTGAGCTCACAGAGGCAACTTGTATTGGGAAAATACTTTTCACACACATGTCATTATGCTGTGTTTTTCACTGCAGAGCTTTACAGTAGCTGAGAGGATTCCTGATATAATTGCAGAATAATCTAATTACTTGAACTTTTTAAATAGAAAGTCATACATCCTGTGGCACAGGTATCTTATTTTTGTGTATTGACTGACACATAGCTCAGTTTTTAGTGGGCCTGTGAGTCAGACTCATAACGTGTGTGTTAATAGGGGAGTCTTCAGTTTCACCAGCATGGTAAGGTTATACCATGGCTGTGTTTGACTCAGGAAAGGGCTTGT